CGCACTTCGGGGGTCCAAAACCCTAAACCGCTAAAACCCTAAAGGGTTTAGGGTTTAGGGTTGCGCAGGTGAAACAAAGGGGGCCTGCAAGGACAGAATCGTGTCGTACGCGAGGTTGACGATGCCCACCCACACAGCCACAACCGCAGGGTCGTCACCACACCCGTCCCTTTCTCAAAAGTCCATGCAAAGGTCACCCCAACGCCCACAATCAAGGTATCATATTCATCATTGTATCCAGGGGTTTAGGGGTTTAGGGTTTAAGGTTCTTGAGGGGCTTATTGTGTTTTTTTTTTCGCCGGGTTTTAAGCGAGCAAGGGTAAGCCAAAGCCACGTACCGAGTTGCCTTGCGAACCTGTAGGTGCATTGGAGCAATCTGAATTCGCGAATTCGAACCGGATGTTGATGGATATTTCACTCGCATGATGATCGGGAACCCTAAGGAATACTAGTCGTCCGAAGCATTCCGACCCCTGTATTAAGACGAAGGTTTAGGGTGTTAGGATTTATGGGAAGGTTCTGGTACTTGTAGGGCTGGTCCAGGTCGCCGGGTTGCAGGAAATATAGGCGAGGCTTTGGGGGACAGTAGGGCTCACTCTAGAATGCACCTGAAAGCAAATTAGGGTTCCTCCTACAATCTCGGCAAGATTGCAGAGGTTTCGGAGTCCTTCATGATTTTGGGCTCGGGCGTGGCGCTTATATAGCATGGTTTCCATTGTTAAGTGTTGCGCTTCGAGGTTTGTGCTGTATTAATTACCTCAATGCATGTGCGGGACAGGAAGCATGCAATGGAGGGGGAGAGCCTTGAACCCAATTCTTTGCTTGGAGGTGATGCAAGAGAACCTTTTAGGGTTTAGGGTTTTCCCAAACCCCACACCCTAAACATAAACCCTAAAACCCTAAAACCCTAAACCCTAAACCCTAACACCCTAAACCCCAAAAAAACCCAAAAACCCTAAAAACCCTAAACCCCTAAGCCCCTTAGCTCGACCGATTTTAGCCTTCCCGGCCTGGCTCACAACGCTCCACCGCGCATAGCGCCGCGTCACGTCCCAGAGGTCGTTCAGGGGGCCCATCGCCAGCACCCAGAGGGCCTTGAAAGTAAAACCACAAACCCTAAACCCTAAACCTTAAACCCTAAACCCTAAAAAAAATCAAAGTATCGGGATTGAGCTTTAGGATTCCAGGACCTTAAGGGGTTTAGGGCTTTTGGATTTAGGGCTTTAGGGCCTAGGGACTCAGGGTTTCATGTCAGGGTCTTAGGCATTCCGTCAGCCCGCGGCATCATCGACCCAACGTGACACACATGGGGGGTTTCCGAAAATAGGGGACCCTAATATCGTACCCTAAATAGTAGGATCCTTGGTATAAGGGCCCTAGAATAAGGTAATTACCCTAATTGCCGGAAACTCCCACATAAGTAGAGTCAGAGTCTGTTTTCGGCAGAGATCCATGTCTGGCTAGGGCACGAGGATGAGGATGAGGGGCAACAATCCGTGCACAACTCCTACCTATAGTCTCCATTGTAATTCCTTCTTGGGTTACTTCATAGGAACCTATCTATAAAGTTGGTTTAAGCACAACATGGACTACAATGGACACTATAAGAAAAGCTCATCCAGGTATTAAGTCGACCCTACAACATCTTGTAGAAACCCATAATATAGGAACCGGATTAAGAAACCTTGGATCTTTATAAGGTTTTTCTCTGTTAATAGACTTTCTGTCGGAGGAGGGGATATGAGGCCAGGGTTTCTTAATCAGCTTCCTACATGAGCCCCTAAACCCTAAACCCTAAAAACCCTCAACCCTAAACCCTAAAACCCTCAACCCTAAACCCTAAAAACCCTCAACACCCTAAACCCTAAACCCCACAACCCTAAACCATGCGGTTCGATCCTTGGACCTTAAACGGCTCAGGGCTTAAGGCTTTAATCTACGGTTTAGGGTTTCGGGTTTCGGGTCTAAACGGCTCAGGGCTTAAGGCTTTTTTCCAGTACGGTTGAGGGTTGAGGGTTTCGGGGCCTAGTCCTCTTTCTGAAAGCTTTTTGAAGAAGCGCCAGCGAGACTCTATGCCCCGAGCCTTAAGACTGAACACTGCTACACCTAACGCCTGCAACATACGGTTGATGGTATACATCCTGCATTACCCCCATAATAAGGAATATACCATAATTCCCATAGCTTAGGGTCCTTAAGGTCATGCAGGATTTCGATCATCAACAGTAGTCCGTAATAGTCCCTTGCAAAAAAAGGGTTAGAACCCCGAAACAGCGACAAGGATGATCAGGTAAGCCCAACACCTCGGACCAAAACCCCCCCCCCCCCTCCCGAACCCTGAACCCATAGGAGCCTAAATCCTAACCGGACCTAGGGTTAATGATCTAAATCCTTCATTACCCAATATACGGGATATACAATACTTCCCGGAGTTTAGGATCCTTGAGGTAATGCAGGATTTTGTATCATCAACCGTAGGGTTTGGGAGTAAACCCCAAAGCCCTAAACCCTAAAACCCTAAACCCTAAAGCCCTAATCCTAAAACCCTAAAACCCTAAACCCTAAAACCCTAAACCCCACCTCGCCAGGGGCGCGACGATCCGCCTGCGGCACGAGGCCCCGCCAGCGCTGTGCTTTCGGATCGAAGATTTCGGCCCAAAGCTGCAGGGGTTTTAGGGTTTAGGGGTTTGAGGGTCCTTTAAAGGGTACTATAAGGGTTCCTTTAAAGGGTACTATAAGGGTTTAGGGGTTTGGGGGTTTAGGGGTTTCGGGGTTTGGGGTTTAGGGTTTTTAGGGTTTAGGGTTTTGGGGTTTTTAGGCGTTTGGGGGTTTGGGGGTTTAGGGGTTTGGGGGCTTAAGGGTTTAGGGTTTAAGGGTGTGGGGGTTTGGGGGTTTAAGGGTTTAGGGGTTTGGGGGTTTAGGGTCTTTAGGTTTGCAGGTTCCTACTCAGGTTTTTACAGGAGTCGTGGTTTTTTCGGGCTTTGGCTTCAGTTGTGGAGTTGGGGCTTTGGGCGCATAACCTCCAAAACCTTTAACTTTAGCCGGTGTGGATAACGATTAGCGCAGAATTGTTTATGATTCCGGGACCCGAAACCCTAATTAAGCCCTCCATTTTAATTTTGGCTAGGGCGAAGGGCTTTAGGGTTCTGGACTTTGGGCCAAGTGACTGAGCCAGGATCTTAACTTAATTTCTGTAGAGAACCTGAGTATGCCCAGAGTTAGGAGGGGGAGAGCGAGCGACGGTCTTAAGATGAGAACCTGATGAAGAGACCTTGGATCTGTATAAGGGCTCTTTGCCGGAATCCTCATCTATTGGGGTTCTAGGGTTTCTTAATCAGGTGCCTACCCTAAACCCTAAACCCTGAACCCTAAACCCTAAACCCCAAAATTCCTAAACCCTAAACCCCAAACCCTGCACCCAAAACCCTGAACCCTAAGCCCTAAACCCTAAACCCTTTTCGAAATTATCACTGCGGGTTTTCGGGTCCGGCTCTGAGGATACCTCGTGAGCCTCCTCAGCAGCAGGAGACTCCCAAACTCAGAAAACGAATAGGGTTTAGGGTGCAGGATAAAGGGTTTAGGGTTTAAGGATTGAGGGTTTAGGGTTTAGCTTAGGAAAATTAAATTTTTGGGGCTCCTTCTTGCCTGATGTAAGCCCCTTAAAAGGGGTAATTGGACTCGAAACCCTTGAGCCTGAACCTCCTAACCCTTAAATCCTTCAAGCGGGGCTTCGGTTCGAGAGTTGCAGCAGCTGGGCCGAGCAGCCCTGTCGGCTCCTCGGCTTTAGGGACCTCAACACGCCATGCAGTCACTATGTCGAGTGCCAGAAAGCCAGCAGCTTCCACTTAGGACTGCGCCCACTTGGCGACGAAGTCTCGCCGCTTCGCTCCAGCGTCTGCAAGGCAACACTGCATGAGACGGCTGAGCAAAGTCGCGTAACTCGGTGCGACGCTCCTCGCCTCGGCGGGTCTTGCCAAGGGTTGCCCGCTCCGGGAACGGCAGTGGGGCTCCTGACATGAACCCAGATGCGTTTCGTGCTAAACCTCCAGACCTCTCTCTCAAGGGTCGGCCTTTCTTACGAGCGCGGCTGTTGGCCGCGTTCTCTTTGTCGGCCCTCCTCTTGTCCCGGAGCGTTCGCGCAGCCTGTCAGCTTTTCATTGTGCAGATGACGGTGCGGCTTCGGAACGACTGCACCTGCTCGTCCTCCTTCTCCTTTTGCCGCAGCACTGCGAGTGAGGCTTTCTTCTTCGACCAAGTCACTTCATTGTGCTGCTTCTTCCAGGCCTTTAACGCCTGCATTCATCGTTCCAGTTGCAAAACATGACGTCACTGCGCTTTCTGAACTTCTGGCACCTCGGGCCCTGCCTCCTCCGCACGTTGGAGCTCTTGCTCGCGTGCCGCGGTCAGGCTTGCCTCTGCCTTTTCCTTTCTGGCAGCTTTCTTCTCTTTCTTCCTGTTCGCGCAGCCATATACATCAAGCAGCATCTAGATGTGTGCGCGAGCTCGCCTAGCTGCTTCCTCCGCCTTTTTGTCGGCCGGCCACTTTCTTATCGCGAGTGCCTGCGCGTGTTGCGCTATTATTAGGAGGCACTCATCATATCTCCCCTGGTGCCTTCTTCTTGGGGTCGGCAGCTTTCTTGGTCACTGCTTTGCCGGCCTGGGACGTGTAACGCACCCACTCACTCAATTCTTTGGCGCCCCTATTCGAGCCCGGCCTGCATGTCCATCACCATGTCCATGTGGAGGAGGCGAGACATGGCGTTAGTGGAAGGTTTGGGTGGGCGAGGCTCGGCCACCGACGACCAAGGGTAGAGGAGCCGCGCCTGCTCCAGGGTTCCGGTAGCAGTCTCCATGCCGTGCAGTACACTGGCCTCCATCAACATGGCCTCCAGTAGCCGGACCAGCCTAGGCGTCAGCTCCCACAAGGCGTGTGGGGCCTTGCCACAGCGGCCCGCCACGTGGTTGCGGAGCTCCTGCCACTTGTTCCGTTTTAATTCAACAGAGGCAGAGCCGTCGCGGGTTGGTGGCCTTGGGGCTCTTTCCACTGCTCCCTCTTGTTCTGTGCAGCTTCCACGACTTCGTGGAAGGCCTGCGGAGCAGAATGGCATATGAGCAGCTTCCTTCGACTGCTTCCGTGCCGCACCTTCTCCGCCAACACGAGGGGCAGGGAGCGGCAGCACTTGCTGCAGAGGCAGCCCTCCACGTCCCCGCACTCTCCAAGTTTGCCGAGCTCCAGCTGTGTTTCTGGTAGCCACATGGCGAGAGCTGGGGAGCGGAGGTGAGGCGGACTGCTGCGCTGACTTGAGTTCGCGAGAGGCTACGCAAGCGAAGAGCATGAACAGAGCTGGATTCCGCAAGCACCCACCCACTCGAGATGCCACGCAACCCGCACACGACCTCCGCTACTACCTATGATGGATGTCTCCACGATTTCATGTTCATCTCACATCAGTTAATATCAATGAAATCATCCGGATGCGGAGACCGATGGAGGTTTACATGTCACTGGCGAAATCTCACGTCGGTAACTCCAGTGCAGTGTGGCTGGAATTTGCCATCTGCAAATCCCACGACCGTACTCTTCGGGAAGTATCATGTACTTTGGGGTTTCGTCCACCCTCAACTTCGATCT